AGTACTCTCTTGCGCCGAGTCATCTGGTCGTGCATGTCCCGCTGCGACGCGTCCGACCAGAAGCGTCGGTGCAATTCCCTGTAAGTACATTTCAATTGTCATCTTCCATATTCCAGTAGACAGACCTTTATAGCAGCGGTCAAAACGTCGACATAGTAGCCGTTCACCAGGTTACAAGCCACGAATACCATGTCGATGATCAGTGCAATGGCGTAGAGGGTCGCTGATTCAACAAGCGCTTCAAGAACTCCGCGGTAGGAGCGTATTCCTGGTCCATGGCTGGTCCCTGCAACACTCATAATGCGGTACAGTAGGAAGATGGTGCACCAAAGTGTCGTGGTGAGCGTAAACGCAAGGTAGGACATCATCCAATCAATAACACCGCCACTATAATCGAAAGATCATCAGTGCTTTCGAAGCAAGTGTGTATGACTCGATGGCTTTGAGCACTGCGGAAAGATTTACTTTTAATAATGATCGAATTTAAACAACATTACCCGTGCCTAGAATGGTACAAAGGATGGGGATGATAACGACGAGCCATCGACGCCCCCAGAGGATCCAACACCGCCAGATCTGATAAACGTAAATCGGAGCAATGATCAGTGATCTTATGAAAGACGGATTGTTTTTGCTACCAACCAGCGAGGAATCAGCAATAACTGTACTGATACAAGAAGTGATACCAGCTGCTAACGTTGCTTGGGTCGACATTGGACTAAATCCATTCAATTCCGAGTATACGGTATAGCAGTTTTGACCTTCATCAATGAATGCGTGGTGCGTGAATGCCCAAACCTCGCCTAGCGCAACGGAGGCGAGAACGTAGAGGGAAGAGATAGCGAGGACCATGATGCATCTTCCAACGGTGGAGTTTTTTGTAGATCTAACTATGACCGGAGAGTGGTAAGGTATAGCTCAGAGAGTAATGGGAGAGAACATACAGATACTCCAGAACGTGACAATCAGGATACCGGTGTAGAGTCCTATACAGGCTCAGATATCAAAGGATTGACTTCGGGGACTATGAAACTCACTATGTGTGAGCGCCTGTAGTATCGTGGTGTTAAGATACACGTCTAAACTTTCAAAGATGGCATGAATGTCATCGTCGGTGAGATCTGGGGGAAGGGACATTTGTGAACAACAACTATGTTTCTCTTACAGGTTCTCGTGTTATATAGAACTCAACTTTCGATTCAAGACTGGACCGAGGTTCCAACGGCCTACGTTTCTACCTTGCGCGATTAATGCAACAAGGGATCATAGTAATGAGAAATGAACAACTCAATGTTGACTTTGCAGGTCCAAGGTGTCATCTGTTGAACGGATTCAGAAAGATAGGATCAAAGATGGTCATGATATTTCTGAGTCTTGTTCGTCGTTGCTGTCCGCCCCCCATCATGGCAGTCATAGTTACGTGTCTGAGATCGACCTTGGAGCCCGAATTATTATTTTATCCCAAAGTAATTGGCGGAGATTTAACCAGCGGTAACGGACATTCGTCAGAGAATCGTTGGCCTGGATGTTCAAAAAAGATCAGGCGGTATCTTCTGCATGAGTCGGCATGACGCCGGCAAAGAACTAGACTTCCGGAACTCATCCCGGTATCACATCTGGATGCCGATTTTGGAGGTGAATTTCCCTACGAGTTCGAGCCACACAGCTACTGGAGTCAGATCGTCGCGTAAGTACCCGCTGTGCTTTCGGGTTGCTGCATACGTATCACGAACCATTTCCGGAGCGTGTCATGTATCCCTAGATGGAACACGCGCAGAAGGAGAGTTGGAGTCACCGTCGAATATCCTGTCAGTGCCTCTTCGCTTCGACCTCGTCACAGTTTGACTGATGTGAATGTAAATTAAGGCTCGATGAAGCATCATCGGAGCAAACTACCACCGCTGATATCCCCGTCTGTTAAATGTATGTCATAAACGCGCTTACGATCCACATTGTGAGCCGATAAATGTTCCAATGTCTTCTTCTCTGAGTACAGGGAGAACGTGGAGTGGGGCTCCTTCTCATAGAACGAGTTCATGTCGAAAAAATTCTCGATGATTGACGGATATTCAGCTGAGCTGCTGTCTAAGCGAAGGAGTTGGCGTCCTGTCTTCTCGCTCGTAGATACTTATCCCATATAAATTGCCTGGGGAAGTCTGCCTGTCTGCGTTAAGACCTGAGCCTGATGAGGATGACAGCGGATAGGAGGTTGGGTCGGCATGCAAATTAGCCTTCCCACAGAGACGGACTCCTCGGCCGGAGCTGCAGAGGAGGAGGAGGAGGAGGGGGGTTGGTGCGCCACACTATCGCAGCAGAGACTCCGTTCTCGAAGACCTTGTTCCATGATCTCGGGGGCTTGATGAGTCCAAATCTGAACCCGAGTTGCAGTCCTCGGGATCGGAATTAGAATTGTCTGATGCCTGTGGGAGAGGAGCTACGGGACTGTGGGCTTCGCAGGGGGGATACATTTCTTGGTCTTCGAGATTCTTGAGGGCCTGTTTGGGAAGAAAATTGGAATTAAGAGATTGACTGGAAAACGAGGACTGTCGGACGTACCAGCGTTCAACGGTTCTTCGTCTCAATAATTTGGCGTTTGAGACTAGTATTTATGTATGTCATCAAGAGTCTTCTCCGATTCGGGGACGGTTCTGTCTTTGCAATGCGGCGGCGCGGGAAGACTCGATTTGTGCTTCTGCACGACCTCCTTCTTCGACACTGGTTTTGACCTGCTTGGGACTGGTACACGCGTCTTCGTCTTCAGAGGAACGGGGGCGCGTTCGAGGAGATTTTGCTGTCGAAGTCGAAGCATCTGACGCGTCAGATTGTCCTACATCATTGGTGGTCCTACGGGGAAGGAAACTGTTGACATTTATCACCGTGGACACGACAGAGCGAATGACATACTTTGGAGGAGGCATCAGTACCGCGTACACGTCCTCTATCAAAGTGTCTGAGGCTCCCTTCATCTTTGTCCTGTTGTCCATTAGACAAGGTTATGTGAAGGTATGAAGAAGAAACACACGCCCGATCCAGATCTCCAAACTGCGCCTTATTTATCCCAGCTCGCCACCTTGATGCAAATCATGAAATGAAGCAGAGATATACATAGCGAACAAGTACTTACGGAGAAGGCTAGATCTTTTTCTGCGTGAAATTATTGCTACTTTTGATGTTGCCACCAGACTCGCCGCCACTCTCTTGATCGCTAGCATCATCATTGGTATCTACCAAATTCACTATCCGCATGATCTTCTCCACGTGCGCCTTCCCACAGATGCTTGTAACAAACGTCATGAGCGACGCAGTCTTCGCGCTCTCCTCTTCTAGAGCTAGGCTGGCCTGCGTGTATAGGAGGGCGGCTTTTGAGACCGCCGTCCTCAGCTCCGCCAGCGCGCTGTGAACCTCTGACCTCCCATCTTCTAGCTTGCGGGCCTCGTCGGGCAGGTCAACGCTAGAGTTGACTGGAAGGCCATCAGGCGGGTAATAGTTCAACGTGGGAACCGAATCATCGTCGTCGACATCACCTTCAGGCGGGTCAGGAAATGTCTCGGCGGTGGAGTACCGCTCAAGTCTCCAGTTTCCGTCGAGTTGTGCTACCCAAACATGATTGGCAAGTAATGGAATCGGAACAGGATTGGATGTTGCGGGGAAGAGACGCTTCGTGATTGCAGGCAGATTATACGAATCAAAGGTGTCCCTATGGAATGCGACGGTGTGAGGTATATTATGAGCCTGGCAGATAGAGATTAGAGAAAATAAACGAGGTCGAAGAGACGAGACTCACGGCGACATAGTCTGAAATAAGGGTCTTGTCGGTTAGTTCGGCGAAATCTAACTTGGATATAGACATTGTTTGTGCGTTGGTGGAGGGAAGGGATGGTGCCCTGTCTGTTTTATATATTATAGCAAGCAGAACAAAGGAATCAAGAGGGGCGCGGATCGGAACAGGAACAATAAAGCAGCGGTGGCCTTTTTGAGACTATGGTTGCATTGTTCTCGGCTGGTATCGCCCATGAACTAGTGTGTAGTGATATAGGATACCTGCCAACCTGCATATAAACGGTGCGTGAGAAAGTATTACTAGCTCTTAGTGAATCGTGATCCGTGGTGGGACTTGGTTCCGACCACCACCATCGTCCACATGCCTCGCCCCGCACCACCTCCAGGCTTTGTTCAGCTAGTTTTGTTGCCTCAAGATTCGTTTTACTTGGAAGTTCCTATGCAAATCGCAACGACGGTCTGTCTATACCCGTTAAAATATCTTCGGTATATTGGCTGGTGTGTCCTAGGCGTTATTGGGACCCTGGTTGATGAGACTGGGGATGCGGTAGAATTGGATGGCGAGCTGGTGGATCGGGGAGTCTACCGATACGATGTGCCTGGTGGAAACATCCTCTCTCACGCAGTTGACCCCGAGGTCATCAAACAGCGAACCCATACGTACTCCGCAACTACAGCTACCCGCGAAAACTTTCGTGAGAAGGTATTAAAACGCGATGGTCGATGTGTGTGGACCGGCATTGATGAAGGGGTTGGGATGCATATTATTCCTTATGCACGAGGCGACGAGGCATGTCCACGCATTGTTCCCTTCCATGCCACTTAATTTGGTTTTTCCTACAGTGGATACAACTCATCATCGAGAACCGGCCAACCGAAGAGGATCTGAGTTCATTGCGCAGCATCAATGATATTCGCAACGGTTTTTATGCCGCTGCTGATATTCATGTCCATTTCTTTGACCAACAGAAGGTTGCCGTGCTTGTCGTTCGTCTGCTTTTCTTTTTCCTTCTTATCTTTTCTCATTCACATCAGACTCCAAATCCTATCCTGAAAACCACCGATATCCCTGATCGCCACCAGCGTCGGCTAGCAGACGATGTCAGTTACCCGCGTAATTCTCGATATACACTTCAGTGGATTACTACTCCAAGCACATTTGCTCGGGAACGAACTCCTGACAACAATGATGCCACTTTTGCAAACCGTCGACAAAAGCCTGCCCGACTCTTGCTACATTATAGGTATGGAGCCGCTGCCGTGAAGAATTGGGGCAAGAACGTTGCTGTTCTCATCCAATATCACCAGCCTAACCGCCCATTGGTACCTACCCCGGCGCCAATGGGGCCATCGAAGGCAAAACATGTTCGTAGTGTCAGTATCAAGAAGCGTGAGAAGCGGAGGCGGGAGGAAGAGCGAGAGGGAGCTGGAGCTGGAATGGAGCAGGCAGGAGGAAGGAATGAAGGGGGGACTAGTGCAGCGACGGCTGTAGAATCAGAGGCTCAGGACATCTGGGATGAGCATGATGTTATGCTATTTTTCTGGGGTAACTCGAAGGCAGCACAGGAAAGACGTGCCAAGGAGGAGGCGGATCACAGACAGTACTTGGAGAAATGGAGGTCTGGAATACCCAGAAACTCACCCAATATATAATATCATGTACAAGCTTCTCTGCGTGTTGTCATGTTTCGAGAATGGACTCGGACATTAATATTGTGCTTGTCAACGTTACAAGCGACGCTTAGCACAAAGAGTCTATTGATTATGCACCTATCAAATAGGTTCCCAGCCGCACTGACAGGAAAGAGATGAAGATCAATGAAGATGCTAAGATTGGCCAACTACGAAAGAGAATATGTTGGTATCGGTCACATAGACTGAAACAGTGTAATGTTTGGGGGATTTAAAGGCACCTTTGGCCCTCGGACAAGTCGGCAACAAAAAACGGCCAAGATTCAAACTACAAGGACCGAGTTACACATGTTCGTAGGCACCCTGGAGGTTTGGTTGTCCAGGACATCAAAATTATATATGAATTTGTTGTTGAATTTTCAAATTCCAAACCTTTATATCACATCGACCAAAAGGGCCTCACTGGGAATTGAACCCAGGACCTCCTCGAGGTTCAACCCAAACGAGGAATCATGCTACTAGACCATAAGGCCACATTGAAATTGTTTTTGGCCGTCATATATAGAAGGGCACTGTGGCTATCTTTCCATTCCTGTTCGCAGTTTTTTCTACCCAGTTTGTTTGAAGCCATTCACTAGATTCGTCCCTTCCATTTAAACTACCGCTGTGGTCTGGTCTTCGCTACCACCACTCCTCAAAAATGAACCACTTTCACCACCAGCATCTTCGACATTTATGCACATGTAGACGGCTTCTCTTCCGAAATGCGCGCTATTTATCAACCAAAAAGAAGGAAACACTGCGAGGAACGCCGTCATCATCATTCAACCCTCCAAAACCCGTGTCTTCATGTAGTGATATACATCTGGAGCACAAGAAAAGCTGGCTGACACGAAAAGTCGAGTCCTCACCCACGGCCCGCTGGTGGTTCATGAAATTTGTCAATCTGCTGGGGTATGGGACTCCGAAGCAGCTGGCAGGAAGAAGGACGTTTCCGTTGTATGCGATGCTATGTGCGGCTGCGCCAGATGCAGAAATCGGATTCTGGCATCAAGGCATGTCTTAACTTTTTTTAGTTGGCAGATGTATTGATTTCTTCTAGAGTGTGATTTGCCACCCACATTCCAGTCGTGGTTCACTGTCGCCAACCTTCACACTTGGATGCTCGCCGTCCGTTTCCGCGCCCTGCCATCTCCCCACGGAAAAGAATATGTACAGGGTCTCGTCGACCACTTCTTCCTTGACATCGAAGACCGGATCCGTGCCGTACTTCAACCTCCTTCGAAACCTACAGAGCCCTACACATTTGAGTCGTCTTTCTATACCAACCCCAATGCACCTACCACGGGACCTGATGGCAAGATCATACGGCGCAGAGCCGCGCCGGAGCGATTGGTATCTCGGCAGATGAAAATCTTCAAGGAACAATGGACAGGAATGTGGATGTCTCTCGACTATGCCCTAGTTAAGGGTGATATGGAGTTGGCGGCTGCTGTATGGCGGAACTTGCTTGGTGCGCGTGGAGCGGCAGGCATCGCTTTTCCCGATCCAAATAACCCCGATGCTCCAGCCCCGTACCGTCGCACCGTCAATCTCGTCGGGGGCTTGGTAGAGAATGTCGAGAAAATTGACTTCGAGAAGGAAGCACACCGCGATGATGGGTCTGGCGTCCACGATTATACACCCTCCGAGGTGGATAAATACGTCAAATATCCCGAACTTATGCTCGATGTGGTGACGTATGTTCGTAGGGAGCTGGTTCGATTGGAGAACATCGGCGACGAGGAGATCATGCATGGTGATATTGCCGGGCTGGGTTTTGGTAGAATCCTGCAGTCTGAAAGTGACGCGTCCGAATCCAAGGACACAATGAAATCAAGTGGTGTATCTCCCAGCGACGCATCCAAGTCCGATGATGCTGTCAAGTCCAGTGACGCTCCAAAGACAAATTTCCCGAAACCCAGGAAGCTTTCTACGACCGCAGCCGTCAAACGCAGTAGCACGTCCAAGGAGAATCCGATGCTAAAGGCAAATTCCCTGAAGGATAGAAATCCTACGCCTAAGCCCAGTGTCTCTACAGATGCCGCATCCAAAAGAAGTGACGTGAAAGCCTTGTCTTCCAAGTCAAAAGCGTCGAAACCTAATGCACCTTTAAAGAAGTAAACGTACCCTACTCTCTAATAAACGCTGTTACCAATATTACCTCATTGTCTTTGATCATCGGTAATAAATATCGACTTCAGAGATAAAATTGGGCACCGAATGATCTATGCGACGGAACGGATAAAAGACAGAGTCAATAGCAAAGCACTCATCGCTTCAGGGTGGGTACACAGATCATATAATATCTAACGGAGGCTGCTTCCCAGCGTCAGTTTCGACCACGCATGGAAACGACTTCCAGGCTTCAATATTGTCATCCATATTTAATGCTGCTTTACGGGTACATAAGGTGCCTGTCTTCAAGGTTTATAACGATAAATACTACTAGTACTAGTCCTCAAACACAAACAAGACGAACAGTCAACCTCTCGGCTGTGGCACGCCAGGGATGTCGTGACCAGATGACCGCCAATAAGAACCCATGGATAGGGGCGTCGGGAACATATCTTTCCATTCATCCGTGCCGGCAAAATCTGGGCCGGCATGTTGGACAGATCGGGATAAAATCAGGAAGAATAGATGCGTCTCCGCATTCCGGCACGGATGCATTTTATCCTTCTTCTGCACGATGCTTCGGTGTAGCGTTTCGTATAAAGGGCTGGCAGACCTCGTCTTCGAATCGGAATTTCAGCCGCCCCTTATTCCCAGGTCCTTTGCGAAGAATTTCGCGACCTTTTCTGGCCTTCGGAATATCATCTGTATCTCACCATGTCGAAGAACACCGTCTTGATAACAGGAGCAGCCGGTTGGCTGGGCGGCTTGGTGCGTGAAGTAATTGATATTCAGGTCGAGGCTCCTGACTGTGGTGTATCATTAGCTCTCTGGAGCTCTCATCGCTGACCCTCAGACACCCGACGTCAGTTTCATCCTTGCCGACATCGTGGAACCCAAGGGCCCTGCAGGAGCTAAAGCCGTTACCATCAAGGCCGATTTGACGAACCCTGATGAAATCGAGAACCTATACCAGACAGAGTTGGGTATTCCGGATACAGTGTACTGTCTGCACGGCATCATGTCCCGTGGGTCGGAAGACAACTTTGACCTTGGTTTGAAGGTGCGTGCACTCTGTGTCGACCACGAGCTCTCCACTGATATACGACGGACAGGTGAACATCGACTCGATACGACTGATGCTCCAAGCGGCCCGTAAATACGGGACCGACCGGTCCGCTCCTATAAAATTCATCTTCACTTCGTCTCTTGCTGTCTACGGTGGGCCCCTGGTATGTGGATCATCGTGGTATAGCCCCCCGTTGCTCAAATAAATTACCAGCCTGATGTCGTGACGCCTGATACCATCGCAACACCGGAAGGTGCTTACGGAATGGGCAAGCTAACTTCAGAACTTCTTGTCAACGAGTTTTCGAGACGAGGATTTGTTGACGGCCGCATCATGCGTCTTCCTACCATTGTCGTCCGACCCGGTGTTCCGTCCGCAGCGACCTCTGCCTTTATTTCAGGTATCTACATGTTGTCAATGCTAATTGCGAGAGCTTATTATCATATCTCAGGGATCATCCGAGAGCCATTGAAAGGGGTCGAAGCCATATGCCCTGTTGGCAACTCCTTCGATTCTCCAGAGCTCGAACTCGCCGCCTGGCTTGCTAGCCCCGAGACTACCATCAAGAACTTTGTCCAGGCAAAGCATGTCCCTGCAGAAAAGTTCTTGAAACATACCCGTGTGGTCTATCTGCCTGGGTTCACAGCGACCGTGCGACAGGAACTAGAGGCTTTGGAGAAGGTTGCTGGCAAGGATGCCTTGAAGCTCATTACGTTTAAGGATGACCCCATTAACAGACGTATTGTCTCCTCTTGGCCAGCCAAGTTTGATAACACGTATCCTCTGAGTCTCGGCTTCATCGTCGACGAGGGCGGTATGGAGCCTATTGTGCGACAGTTTAAGAAGGACGTTGAGGCTGGTATCGCATAATCACATTAACGCCTGTATATATATGTGTATAAGAAAAAAAATGTAACTTCATGAACTAATACTTGGCAAGTTGGGCCACATTGGGCTCTGTATGATGCGGGAATTGGAACTTAAAAGAACACGACCACGTGCTTCGCGTTGACAGTGAGTGGTGTGTGGCCTCGGGTTAGGGTTACCTGACTTATGCACTTTACCACGACCTTCATGCTGATCCATGGCACCCCTTGCCTCTTCAGGGAGCTGTTCTTCTGACTACTTTTCCGAAGATGACCCTTCATTTCTCCAAGCATTAGAAGAAACAGTACTCCCTGGAGACATCGAGCGGAAATCACCAAACAACGATGAGCTAGAATCTGACGATGATTATGGAGCGCTACCGTTATCCCAGCCTTGCCTAAAGAGACGATACTTGTCGTCTTCAGACGACGAGCAGGGGATCCAACACAAAGACTCGGGAGATGACCCATTCGAACCTCCGCCGCTGACTCAACCTTGTTTGAAGCGCAGATCTGACGATGGCTCTCTGTCCGACATCGATGAGGGCGATGGATCTTCGGCGAAGACGTTGCCTACGAAGCGCCGTCGCGCCGGACAGGATGACGACGCAATATACGGACCGTCACATTTTGGAGATTTTGGGGAATATATGCACAGGAAACGAGCAAAGCTGCAGATCCAGAACTCGGAGTTTGAATCCAACGTTGGTTGCATCTTCAAGGGATTGGCGATTTACGTGAGTAGCTAGCATACTCCCTCTTTCCTCGGCTGAGCAGAAGCTAGATTAATGGGTGGACGCAGCCATCTGTACAGGAACTCCGGCAACTGATTGTCAAGCACGGTGGAGTTTTCCAGCCATATCTCGACAAGAAATCTATTGTGTATGTCCACAGGACGAATTTTGTGCGCTGCAACTTACTATTGTTTCAGTACGCACATCTTAACATGTTCCCTTACTCCTGCCAAGCTTCGCGAGTTTAAGAATATGAAGGTTGTGCAACCGAACTGGATAGTGAAAAGTGCCGAACAAGGCATCCTTCTTCCCTGGCAAGATTACGTGTTCTCCGCATCTGAGCGATTGGATGGCACACAAGGGCCAAAGACAAATCAGCAGCTACTTCCGACAGTCTCGCGGCCTCTTCCTACCTTGTCTAAAACTGAAGCAAACACGTCTACACTCAACCTTCCCTATTATGCCTCCCATACATCCAATCCTCTGGCTGAGCGTGCCATGGCTCGACCAGGATGGCGAAATGCGCATACATCAGTTGCACCGGATTTCATTGAAGGATACTATAAGAACTCGCGACTTCATCACCTATCCACCTGGAAAGCAGAGCTCAAGAATCTCGTAAAGGAGGCTCAAGAACGTGCAGAATCTGGCAACGCAACAAAAGTAGGCTTGGAAGAAGATCCTGAGACCACCGGTGGTGTAAGCATGCGGGGTGCCGAGTTTGTTATCAGATCCCCCTCAAAGAAAGGCAAGGGGAGGGCCGAGCTGGAGGAACGAGTCATCATGCACTGTGATTTTGACTGCTTCTTTGTGTCTGCCGGGTTGATAAACCGCTCACAGCTCCGAGGGAAGCCTGTGGTCGTTTGTCACTCTCAAGGAGACCAAGGAGGTGGTTCTAGCACCAGCGAAATTGCGAGCTGTAGCTATGAAGCACGAGATTTTGGGATCAAGAATGGGATGAGCTTACAACAAGCGCGCAAACTATGTCCAACGATCATCACAATCCCCTATGAATTCGAATTGTAAGATCAGTGTACTGTGCGGGTATCACTGTATTGACTTTTAGCAGGTACAAGCAATTTTCTTTGCGCTTCTACACTGTCTTGATGACTCATGCTGATGACCTTCAAGCGGTATCAGTTGACGAAGCCTTGATCGACGTGACGAGTATCGTTAATCGCTTAAGAGCCAAGGCAAAGGGCGTGGTTGACCCGGCGAAGGAGCTTGCGGAGACTATTCGTGCTGAAGTGAAGAAGTCTACGGGATGCGAAATCAGTATTGGGATTTCATACAACATACTTCTCGCCCGACTCGCTACCCGTCGAGCCAAACCCGCTGGATCTTACCACTTGCTGCAACATGATGTCGCAGAGTTCATAGCCTCGCTGGATATATCCTCTCTTCACGGATTTGGTTCTTCAGCGAAGCAAAAAGTCGTTGACAAATTCGGCGTTAGCACCCTTGGTGAATTAGTGACGAAAAGCAAAGTTGCATTGTGCGACGTGCTAGGAAAAGGTACCGGAGAAACGCTCTATAATGCCATTCGGGGTGTGGATGACAAGAAATTGGAGTCCGACAAGGCCAGAAAATCGGTGTCATGCGAGATTAACTATGGCATCCGATTTGAGAATAATGAACAGGCAGAAACCTTTATCCGCCAGATGGCCGTGGAGGTAACGAAGCGTCTTAACGATGTCAGTATGTTGGGTCGTTCCATGACCCTCAAAATAATGAAACGGGACCCTCATGCTCCCGTAGAGCCTCCCAAAGTAAGCTTCGTATTGCTTATGAACACAAAGTATTTATCGATGATTTCCCCAGTTTCTCGGACACGGCGCTTGCGACGTTTTCAATAAACAGGGCCCTCTTGCGGACCCGTCCGGTCGTGCGACCAATGATGAGAATGTCATCGGTGATCACGCCTGGCGAATGCTAAAGTCACTTAACTTCGACCCGAAGGAGCTACGCGGAATTGGAATTCAGATTCAAAAACTCGAGTCGAAAGATGCTGCCGTCAATCCTGGTCAAAAGACCTTACCTTTCCTAGTTGAGAGTAATTCTAAGAGAGATCCGCCTCGCCCCGTCGAACAGCCGCCCCCGGTGGAACCTCCACCACAAGAGACTAGAGCCTCTGTCCCATCCTGGGACCTGCCTTCATTCTCCCAATTAGACCAGTCGGTTTATGATGCTCTTCCAGAGGACATCCGAGGAGAGCTGGACCAGGAATACAAGCGTCGTTCCGAGTCTCCATTTGTCCCTCCTCCTCTTCCTCCACGTAGATATCCTACGGTGTACGTGCCTTTTCTCGGTTCTCGTGCTAGAACTATCCCGGTGCCCTCGCTTCTCCCCCAGCGGCCCAATGTCAATGTTAGGCATATCACCCAACAGCTCGCCCCTCGCAATCTCCCGGTGTACTCTTCCAACAAGAAGAGAACTAGCTTTTTTGGAAAGCGTATGGGTATGGGGACGACAGCCAGGTTTCGCATGACGGATGATGACTTGCGGAATTTTGACATCGATCCAGAGGTGTTTTTCGCGCTGCCAAAAAATGTGCAGAGAGAGCAACTGACGAGGGCGAGGCTGTTGAAGCAGGAGGGAGGGATACCCGAAGTTTCTGATGAACACAAGAGTTTGAGGCCGCGTAAGAGGCTATACTCGCTCGACGGGATTTATCGTGCACCTCCGCCGCAGGCAAAGTATCCAGAAGTGCCTGTTTTGAGACAGCGTGGGAAGGAGAAGGGTGAGAAGCTCTGTTTCACAGAGGCAGATGATATACAGAACATCCTCGAGGCCTGGGTGACGCGGTTCACCAAACGTCCTCCAAATAAGAAGGACGTGGAGTTCTTCTCCAAGTTTTTGGTGCGGAGTGTGGACTGTGACACAGCGTCGGGAGTAGGAGTTGAAAAGGCTATCGCAATTGTTAAGTGGTGGCTTGTGCTGCTGAGAAGGAATTGGCGGGATTTTGAACATGAGACGTTTGAAGCTCATGAGCACGATTCAGAAGAGACGCGTACTAGGCGGGCTGTTGCAGAAGCGTGGTGGCAGATGTTCAGGAATGTCAAGGAAGAGATGGACGTTGTTGCACGGAAGAAATTTGGTGGGAAGTTGTCGTTGAGGTGAATTCAAATTTATATCTAATTTATGTCATTTATCATGGTTGTAACGGGTACATTTATTCCGAGGTCTAACCATTGTTTACAGCCAATAAATATTCCTTCACTGTTCGCTGCTCAGCCCGAGGAGACGTTTGGGCGAATACTGGAAATGCAGTACGTGCTAGCTGGACGACGTTTTCTTATCATCCAGACACGATTTAAGTGAGAAGTAGTACAGTTGATGGTTAGATGGTATAGCAGTTTACTACACAGATAATAAAGACAACAAAAGAAAGAATAACTGAAAAATATAAACGCCACAGATCCTATACACAATTTTCACTTTTCCACGCTGACTTTTGTCGACGCGACAACATGGTCTTGGGACGCGGTATCCACCGATGATCGGGTATGCCTCTCCTCCATTGCGAGCTCGTCTATCACCAAAGGTTTGCCAATTAGTTTGCGTCTGCCCAGCCATGTCAGTTCAAAAAAAAAAATGGTAGTAAGAGAGAACGCACATCCAAGGCGGGATAATTCCACCAGGTGGGACGACCCACTCCTCCGCTGCATCGATAGTCGGTGGGAGAATGCGTCCACCACTGATCTTGCCAATGATCCACGGGATCCCGTTAAGGAGCAGGTACGAACACACGCCTGCGATGACTCCGTACGCGATACTAGGAGGGGTTAAGTACGACAGACAGGGCAAACCGAAACAACGCACTTGTACGACAAGGGTATAACCAAAAGCGTAAGGAATGCAGGGACAGCATCACCGATGTAGTCCCAGTTGATTTCGCGGACACTGAAAACCATCAGCTTACCATCTGTAGCATCATCAAAAGCACCCACTTTCGAATCATCAACGACCCAACAATCACCAGCGCCCCACCCGTCGCCCAACCAGGAATAGACGCGAAGATCGGGGCAAAGAACACGGATACGAAGAATCCTAGACCCACCGTGATGGCAGTCAGGCCTGTCTTCCCACCGTCTATGCAACACGCATCAGAGCCTGATTTTACCTGCGAGCACAACCGAGGCACGTACCACTGATACCGGTTGCGCTCTCAATGTACGCTGTAACCGGACTCGTGCCCATGAGAGCCCCCATGCTGATGCAGAATGCATCTACGCAGTAGGCGATAGTAGACCCCTCAAAGTCAAGGGTGACGGGGTCTCGCAGACCGGCAAATTTGGCCATAGAGTAAAGGGTACCGGTCGTGTCTGGTGGCGCCGCGTCGTGTCAATAAGGAACCACAGATGGACGAGTATAACATACCCAAAATATCAACATAGAGAAAGGTGATGAGCGCATACCACACCTGGCCATTCCTGTTGATCCCAAATCATTAGTCACCTGCTGTACCATATACGAAAATCTCTCCTACCCATAGTTATACTGTTGGAAGTCGTATTAGTCATGTGTTGAAACAACACAGATAAAACTTACATCAATCGCATTGCCGATCTTCTCCAACTTGTGGAATGTGACCACTTTTTTGAAGAATTCAAAAAGCTGGTCTCCGGAATCCGTGTAGGGGAAATAAGTGACAGAGGTAGGTCTTGGCCAAGAAATGATTGAAACCAAGAAGATTCCAATGAGGATCGCTCCACGAATACGGTACATCATGAGTAGGACAGTGAAAATTCTGCCATAAACCACATGTTAATAATGATCCACGGAATTTCTAGCGAACACGCACCCCCCGAGGAAGATACCCAACCACATGGTGGGGCTCTGCAATACGCCACTCTCACAGTAATTGTCCATGCCTTCAACGAAATTTTCCGACTTACACCCGCCCAGACCCACGTAGTCAGTGGTGTCACCCCCGATGACGAACAGTCCGGAAGAACCTGTGCCACGGTGGATCTGATTAGCACGAGCACTCATATCACATCACAGACGGCACTTACTCAGTCCAATGAAGCTAGACAGCAAAAATGGCATGTCAATTGATACACACTTCGACAGGCGGGGGGGGTAAATGAGACGCACGCAATGTATAAACCTATACCAGCGCCAACGGCGAGAACCAATGACTGAGGCATGATTCGCACCAACCATTGCCGCAAACCCAGAAGGGAAAGAATGAAGAAAACCCATCTTTCGTACGTCAACAAGAGGACGAATGAAACAATTTCAAGTGTCCTCACCCTTCCAGAAATACCGCGGCCAGGGCCTCCCTATACGTTATTATTCCAGAACCATGGTATCCCACAACCGAATATGTAAACTGTCGGAGAGGTTCAGCCGGGGAAAGTCATAGCAAAATTACCCGAAGACAAACGTACGTATGCGTTCAAACCGAGTCCAGGGGCCATTCCGACGGGAAGGTTTGCCAGAAGACCCATGAGGAAGGAGGACAACGCCGAAATGGCGGCCGTCGAGGTAATCAAATCATTCCGAACCTCATTAACACAGGTGGCATAGGCCGCGTCGTTCGCGCAGGAGTCGGAGGTGGTACACTCGCAGGTTCCCCCAGAATCTGAGAGGATGGAAGCGTTTACGGATATCTGGAAAGGGCCCTTCCTTAGCGACGGCAGAAGGAATATCATTGGAAAAATGTACGATGTAAGCCATAGCAGCCTGACAGATATACAGTGAGTACTAGGGTCGAAAATCATCGGGGGAACTGGACGGAATGTAACGTACCCATGTTGTTAGACCTGCTCGGATCTCAGTCTGTAAGATATGTATGTTAAAGTCGGGCAAAGAGGTAGGAAAGTGAAAACATACTGTGAACCGTGAACCAATACGTTCTCTGGGATGTCCTGATCCCTCTAGCTTGAACCATCGTCCAACAAATGAATCCGCGACCTAGGCAACAAACAGTAAATTGTCATGCGCATGAAACATAGCAACAAGCTTGCCTGAGCATTGAGGAGATCCAAAAAGTGAACCATCATGTACAAAGGATACGGTAGAAAGGAAGGTGAAGGTACCGCCGGTAGGGCACAGTTGAAATAGTAAAGGGGGCGATAAGGACTACATCACTTTTTTACTGGTCTTTGAAGAGTTCCATACAGCCCACATGGTTCCGATTTGCATCCGGCTAATCGGCGAGTCCGCTCCGCATCAATTAAAATGGTCTCTTCTTAGCATCTACGACGCACGCGGGGGATTTTTTTACCGTTGACACTTGTTCACATCAAGTCGATCTTCGCACTTTTCCCACTGGTAATCTATCACGCAGTCCTGATGGACCCACCCATCAAGATCATTGGCAGGCCTTAACGTTGGGGAATAAGATTATACTCAATCACTGGTGCATGATATCACAGCGGAATGTGAATTTGCGCACACCGCAGGACATATGCTCCTCCGAGGCCGGACAGCCTTAACGCTAGTCCTATTTAAATGACTCCTTATCTCCGACAGTATGGTGGATTGTCCAGCAGGTATGTCTCCAACGAACTTCACATTCTGGACTAGTCCCCTTAGCCTCGCCAGATTATTTCTTCAGAACAAACGGAGTTGAAGTGGATAACAAATTCAAGTTCGGGACTCCACACTCGGAAGCTAGACCATCATCAGAGCGAAAACGTACTTCGGACGCCTTCAGATCGCTTCTTGTGTGGACTGCACGAAAGGAAAAGTACAAGTATAGCATGTCCTTAACGTATGGAGAAGGTACAATCAAGCAATATCCATCCGAGGCTCGAATGTAGGCTCCGAATGTTGGTCCTGAGGGCCCTTTGACGACTCACGAGTGTCGGATCGTCCAGGCTCCCAAGCGTTGAATTGAGTAGTAAGTACGCAACCTCGCAGCCGCCCTCGTACCTGAACCAGACCATAGTGTGGATGGTGATCAATGATTGGCTGGATTGATCAGAAAGGGTTTGTGGCGTCCATATGGCTATCGATATCGTTCAATGAAAGAAAGAAACGCTGATCACGAATCTGGCCGCTGTCCACATGCAACCTGACAATTTCGTCCTCCTCCCTCCCTGCGCCAGGGCCAAGTCAGGACGCTAAGCTCCGGTTTTAAAGACAGATAAGATGACTTCAAAAACCGCTTTAGAACTATGCTTGACTTCGCCATGATATCTTCTCCGCCGTTTCGTAAAATTCAAGACCTTTGTCGTTCTGGCTTCCGATCGAGATGTCCTTCTTGATCTCTCCATATCATCCAGTTCTTTTCTGGTCACCCCTACAGAACTATGCCTCCCGAATTTTCCTGCCACTGTGCATTTCTGACTTCTCTTCGCGAAGTGATTTGCCACCCTCCCCAAATCATGTGTTCTAATGCTTCGTATATGGCCATTCCCTTTGTTCACGGACTATCTGTCTGTTCTGGTTCTCGTAGTGGCTGCTCTCTCATCAAAGAGATACTCCCGTAATGCACGATGGGCGGCATTCCTATACATTTCTGCCATCCTACAGACTTGACGACAACTGTCCGATTCTCGTGCTCAACAGCGCCTGAATGTGTATTTATACTCATGAGGGAACAGTTTCTCGGGAGACCATCAGCACTTGGGGTTGATATCACTACGAGCAGCGAATCCTCGGAGCCCTTCCTTTCCTTGAACTGTGCGGCCCCGTATACCTTACGACTTTCTACGAAGACCGCGTATCAAATAACTCCATGTTCTGCTCCGGTGGCAGTTGCGTACGTTAGTGATACACCTCAGCGTCTAATACCCGACTGGTAGTTCGATGTAGCCACTACTGGATCCATGGTCCTTCTTTGACAAAAATTCGAAGGTCTAGCAAACCCGTTCCTTGATAATATTATGAAACTGTTACTGAATACGCCCCAAGAATCATGCGTGTGAAACAGCTAACGGTATTCATACACTGGCAGGCTGTCAGCAGCGACTTTGTCGTTGTCTGACCATAATTTTTCCGAAGACAAGCCCACGGAGTTGCCGCTCAAAGCTGCATAAGTACTTACGTGCCGTAAGCATCCAAGACTCATTCCCCCCGCACACTTGGCGTAAAGGCACGGATATTATTCCCGTCGACGTGCTTGCGGAGCATGACGCGATGTACTATTAAATCTCCTCGTTTAGTGCGCTTTGGGGCCGCATGAGCCTGAGAACCGTAGCTTCGCGCAAGCCCCTGCCTGATGGAGGAGCAATAAGACGGGCCATAACGCTCGTGAACATAGGCAAGCGCGCAGAAATTCCCTCTCTTTTCTGTAGGGGGTAGACCATACTACGACGGATGTGGACCTGGATGAGGAATGCAGTGACGGAAGGAGAAGGGCGTTGAGGAACCTCCTTTAGAGCAATGTTAGTGACGTCATCATCATATATAGTACGCGTTACAGAATTTGCAGAACTACAATTCGGCTCACCAGACTTTTCCTCGCAATCTTCTTTGCGCGACCTTCTTTTGCGTCTACGTACAAACCAAGCCACTTGGTCTGGGTTTCCCGTGTGTTTCTACACGGAGAGCTCAGGCAAAACATTATATTTGAACTCAGGATGGCAAAGTGTCCCAGCGCACGAAGAGTGGATCGCAGGCGACGAGAATCAGACCCTTTTGAAATTATTTGAGCCCCATGTTCAAATCACAGATTTCGTGCATCTGGACGTAGAGTTCGGAGATGTCCTAAGTGCCGGGGAGGAGAGGCTGAAGTTCAGGAAAGTTGAAGGCGGGAAACAATGGGAAATTGTGCGAAAGGACGTCGAAGGGAAGAAGGCGGATGGAGAACGATATTGCTTCTCTAAGGTTGGGTCAGACGAGTTAAGCGAAGGGGAGATTATTCAAAAGGTCTCGTTGTAAATATAGAAGCAACATTCGAGAGTCTGATAACTAGAGAAGAAATATACTACAGAAAGAAATACGAAAAACAGCTCTACAACCATTTAACCGATTACTGTACCAAAAGTCTTCAGTGAGAACCAATGCTCTAGTCATGATGTTCAGGTTAATGCAGCACCCATAATCATCGCAACGCCCGCCCACAACCCAGACGCACGAAGACCTAGCGCTGCACTAGATGCCCCTGCCCCTGCTGCACTGCTCGACGAACTAGTGCCACCGCTAGCACTAGCACTAGCTCCAGCTCCAGTCGCAGTAGCAGTAACACTCGCGGCCGGCGAACCAAACAACGATGCTCCACTAGGGATGGGTCCCGGGGCTGCAGAGGCGGATGCATCCAGTCCTACCAACGCACCGACCTCTTGCTATAACACCAAAGGCATTAATGATACAACGAACGGAAAAGGAAATCAAAGACGTACGCCCGGCGTCCCAGAGAACGCCTTCGCATTACTGAGGAACACATCAAACGTCGCGTTTCCCGACATAGGTGCATTGATGGCTCCAACCATTCCTACTTTGCAATGTGGGCTTGGCACGAGCTGTTTGCAATAGAACCAGATAGCTGGGTTGATCATCAATCAGCGTATGAACACGCGTGAGAGGAGAAAAAATCACATACGGACGGAGGCATTGGTAATAGTGAGGTTCCATTGCGGAGTTGGCGTCTCGCCCGAGATGAAAACCCAACCCGAATCAAAACCGTCGCTCAGAGGCGTGCATGGGTTCGTCAAACTAGATTGAGTGATCGAGTGGTTGCCTGGGCTAATGTTTAATTCGTCAGAGGCGTGGGCATAGAATGGAGGAGACGAGACACTGACTTCCCGGAAAAGTTGAAGGTAACAACGTCTCCCTGGGAGACAGTGACGTTGGCAGGGATGAATTGGAAGATACCACCGGCTTCTGTCGTAGTGCCGCCGACTTGTATAACCTGTTGGATGCTCTGTCATTGTTACGAAAAGAAAAGAGTGAACAGTATACTGTATTTTGAGCCCCGGCGAGAAGAGGTACAGCCAGTGCGAGGAGCGTTGTAAAAGGATGCATTGTTCTCGTGGGAGTAAGGTGTATGTATGTATGCCAAGGCAAAAATGCCTCCTTATAAGCAAATGCTGCTGAATGATGAGCCAATTGTACGGATAATGCTGGTCAGAAGGCTCACGAGAAAGGAGTTGAGGCTCACACGACGGTCAAAGATTACTGCAGCATCTGACCATACTCGCAACATACCTCTCACACTTTGGGGCGGCAGTGCTGGAGTGTGAATGCTCGTACTGCGGTCTGAGTCAGTAATTGAAAGTACCCGTGGTTCTGGTGATTCAGGAGGACAGGCGCGGAACTGAATGTCGTGGTTCTGGGTGATTCGAAGCAGGTATCGGCATACTCGGGTAGGAGGTCATCACGCTGCTGTTGTTGCTCGGCACACTGTCAGGCATGTAGGGAAAAAAAAGCCAAATTATGCATCCGTATTGAGTCTCCACGTTCTCAGGGTGTTTTACGAGGTCTTAAACCACATCTTCCCTTCCGGCAAAATGATCGTCTTCAGAGACGGGCAGTGCAAATGCCATTGAGTAGCGATCTTGTGCTCGCACTTGGCAGATCCACTCAATGGTACCTGTGCCATGAATGTAAGATACTGAAATAAATAAGGCAATGAGCATAATGAAAATCTCAGATGTCGTATTCCTAACCTCTAGTTGCTTGAATACCCTCAATGATGGCGATATTCCGTCTAGTATCTCCTGCGTCAGATGGTCACTCACATGAGTTGGTGAAGGAAAAACAAGAGATACTAACAGATACTAACCTCCGTATAATCTGCCCTTAGCAGGAGGACGTGCAGAGCCTTTAACTGTGGGAACCGCTTCCCTACCTCCATGAATAAATATCCAGGTGCTTCAGGATCAAAGCTCATCAAGCTCAGTTTCTCTATCGTCACCGACGTCGTCATGAGCGCATCCAGCATCTCAAGAGCCGAGTCGGGATAGACAGGCACAGAGCACGTCCGTACAGGCCGCCCAAGGAGAAACATCGACAGCAGCTCGGGGGTCGCGTGAATGGCATGTAACGACGTAAGGTTGGGGACGGCCGCTGCATCCAACCCATTTACACCAATAGAAAGCTGTGGTCTGAACATGCCACCCTCGAATGCAGTCACAGAAAGGGTGTCAAGGCCATGGAGCGTCAAGACCGTAAGCGTGGGCTGGGATTCGATGAACCATGCGAGCCTGTCCTTCCATGGGTAGGACGAAGAAAACTCTTTCAGACGGAAAGAACAGTCGTCAAGGATCCATGGAGGTCGGCGGGGAAGCTCAAGGGTCAGGGCGCTGAGGTTGGTGAGGTTACGTAAAGCTCTTTGAGCGAGCGCGTAAAAGTTCGAGGTGGGTGACTTGAAATCGGACCAGTCTACTTTGAATGTGCGCACCAAGGACGCTAAGTATACGTTACTTGTAATGGTATGGAGACAATGGATTGATTCGATGGGCTTCTTAAGGATGATGGTAGGGTACAAGACGCGAGTTGCGATAGAATGGAAGGATTTGCTGCCAAGAGCTACTGCTGGAAGTTCGAATCGATCCAAGTGATGAAAAATCAAGTCGTATATTTCTGAAGGCAAGATCGCTGGTCGTCCTGCTTTCCCGCAAGTGCTTCCAATGACGATATCCTTAGAGGGCTTGTGGGGTGAATGCATCTGTATTGTGCCGTTATTTGGACATGAATTCGACCACTTATATTGATTTGCACGCACCTGAATTGCGTCAAAATTGGCCATCGAAGGCAGTCCTAACGTCCTGAACGAGATGGCGGGAAGATAGGATAACGATATAAGCGGGGAAAATGCTTCGCATCCATTGATACAGCGATGGAAATTGTTGGCAGCAGTAGTAATGCCAACATGCAGTTCAAACAGTTCCTGTTCAATGCTAGAGTTGTTGTCCATGATCCTCGCTGAGAAAGCTTGGATGGAGCACCGTGACGACGGGCCGTGGGAGTTACGGTCCGGGTTACCATTTTGCCTTTGAGTGCATAATTTAATTGTTTAAACTGCTCATACTTTTTTCTGCAGAATAACAGATCGGTAGGGCCTCCCTCCCCTGTGTAAAATGTTTCTTGAATGGAAAGAAAGAGAAGTACCAAGTTCTCTCCGGTTTCGATGGTAGTAAACTTCGCTCTTTAATTCCATCATGAACACCAGGTTACGGCGCGGCTGGGAACCTGAGAGTCCAAAGTCCCCGACGTTGTTTTGTGGCGTCAAGCACGGCGTATTAAGTATATATGTTAACAAAATCCAATTAATATTATGCCCCTACTCTGCTTTTGATTTAACGCTCCGCTCGACCTCAGCCTCAGCAGCAAGACCTTCAGCCTCGACCTCCTCCATCAGCTTGCGCTCGATCTCGAGACGCTCCTCACGTGTCGCATTCTTATTCGCTGCGTGCGCAGCCCGAACACGTTCACGATGTTTCAGGTAGTTCGTATCCGTGCCAAAGAGTCTGTCCCACCAGCGGAACGAGGTCGAGAAGTTGTTGGTGAAGGACATGTGATGAAAGTCATGGTGTTCGGCACCAGACCAGAATGGGAGGATGTGTTGGAGCGACCATGGGAAATCTAGCAGTCATCTTAGTGTAAAATCACCTATCCCGCGGCGCAGATTACTCACCATAACCACTGTGTGCATCAACCGCTTGGAAAAGACGGAGAGTGATCCAAATGTACATAGTGAGGATGTGGAAGTTCTGGGTAAAGAAGCAGTAGAGCAAGGGTCCAGCGAGTGTACCGGTACCAAGAATGAGGACTTCAGCTGGGTGAGCATATTCAGCTGCTAGACCGAATGGCGCAGAGTACTTGTGGTGGATTTTGTGAATGTACTTGTAGAGGAAACCGTAGTGAAGCGCACGGTGGGCTAAGAAACGTGTGAGTGGTGAATGTAGCGATCGCAGTGCTGAAACTCACCACACCAGTGGAAGAGATCCTCGAACCAGAAGAAGAACATAACTTGGGGTGCTATGGTCTTCCAAGATGGGAAAGGAACCTGGTAGGTCGACATTCCAATGGACTCGGCCAATGGGTGGAATAGCCAGATCTAGGCTCAGTCAGTGTAATCTCGCCAGGAAATAGACTTTTCACGGACCGTCGGCAGCTCGATAGTGAAATGTGAGAACAAGACCATCTTGGTGCATTCCCATTGGTCCAAAGCAGTCGGTATCTTATTGGGCTGGAGCTTCCACTGGCGGAAATATGGTATCGCATCCATGATAATCCAGGGTATACAACGGCCGAAATAGACAATCTATACATCTATTCAGTTGTTGGTGGTAAAGCTGAGAAAAAGGAGTACCTCGTGCAACAAAAAGCTCATCAATCCCGTTGCAATAATTGGGTTCCCAATCCAAACATACCAGGCGACCCATTGCTGTTCGAACCAGTTCAGTGACTGGAGATCGGTGTCGGCATAGACAGAGGCAAACGATGACGGAGCCGCCGTTGTGTTGAAGGACATGGTGGACTGGATGAAACCTTAAAGTGAAAACCACCCCACTTTTATTTTCGAAATCGAATGGCGTGAGGGAAGATTTTGGCTCACGTGCTCATGCTCTGATTGGGCAGCCGTCAGCCAATCAACCACGATCATTCTTCAAGCTGTCTCCCCAAGTACAGGATAAGTACTACTGTCGCCAGGGGAGGCCTATATAAAGGACCTTCGTTGCCTGGCTATCCTTCAAAGCTCAGCGAATCCTTTTTCTACATTATCCCCTCCATTACTGTGAGGAACGTGAGCGGGACGGCTGGAATATCCCTGTACCCAATTCTCTGTTGTTTCTCTGGAGCAAAGATGCGTCAATGGGTTCCTAGCCGCTTTCATAAAGCTCGTGCTTTGATTTCTCTCTTCAATCCGCCTCTGCTGAGTAGGCATCGCTTGACGGCAGATATCTGTCCATCACCACTCGATATATCTGAGGTTTCTGAAGTCTACTGTCAATATCGAATGCCTTTTTCCGAATATAATCGGTGTATTTCTGGTGCAAATGTCGTGGATTCCTCAGCTGAGCTCGGCAGCTGTATCTTCTATGTCATGACGAAGTCGAGTCCTTTGCCGGCGTCATGCCGACTCATGCAGAAGATACCGCCTGATCTTTTTTGAACATCCAGGCCAACGATTCTCTGACGAAT